CACCCTGAGGGATTCACCTGGGGCAGGGCGTTTCCCATCAGAGAAACTGCTGAATTGAGAGGGGGAGCAATTGTGGTACTTCTCCTTTTGGGTTGGGTTTTTTTAATTCCGCCTGCCTAAATCAGGGACACTTTAAAGTGTTTGGATGTGATGCCACCCCCCCCCCAAGATTTGAGGGGGCTAGAAAAGGGCTCTTGAGGGGGGGAGGGGGCCCATGAGAGAGAAGAGAGGGAGGCCTAATTAGGACTCAGACTGAAAGGAGTCAGGTCCATCCTTGGGAGCCCCAGAACCTCAATGGTGGTGCTTCCCTAGGGGGACCACTTTCCCCTCCCCCCAGCCAGCAAAGAGGCTCCTCTCACCCCTCCAAGGACTGCCTTTTCCTGCTTCACTGGAAGGGGGGGTGTCAGAAGAGGAGGGGTTTTGCAACATCCTGCCTCACCCTCAGCCTTTTCTCCAACGTCTCTTCGGGAGAGGGGTCGCAGTCCCTTTCTCCCCCCCCCCGGACCCCCAGCATCAATGGGGCTTTCCCCCAAGTGTGGCCCTGCTCCTTTATGAGTTGGGGGGGCTGCCTGAATCGGAGACACTTCAACGCCTTTGGACAAAATGGCCCCAAGAGTCACGAGGAGGCTGGAAAAGGATTCTGAAGGGACCCCTGAGGCAGAGGAGGGGCCCAGAAGGAGACCTAATCCAGTCCGACCAAGAAAGAGAACTCGAGGCCATCTCTGAGGCGCCCCGAAGAAGCCCGATGGCTGCGCTTCCCTCATAGCCGCGTCTCTCTTTCTATCAACGGTTTTTCCCGCCTGAGGGACTCGCATTGGGAAGGCCGTGCCCAGAAGGGGGAGGGGGGTCTTGCAACCTCTCGCCGTGCAGCCATTTCCCCAACATCTCTCTGGGGGGTCCCAGCCCTCTTCAGGGGGAAGCTGTATGGGGGTGGAGGGAGCCCCTGAAGGATAGGAGGGGCTCAGAAGGAGGCTTCATCCAGAGTCCGACGGAGAAAAAGAAGTCGAATCCGTCTGTGAAGAGCCCCGAAGAAGACCGAAGGCAGCTCGTCCCTCAGATCCGCGGCATTTTCTCTCAACGGCTTTTCCCGCCTCGCCGCTTGAGGGAATCGCACTGGGAGGGGCGTGGCCAAAAGGGAGGTGGGGGGAAGGGAGGAACCTTGCACGGTCCTGTCTCCCTTGCCCTGCAGCCTTTCCCCCAACGCCTCTTCTCGAGGTCCCAGCCCCCTTCTTCCTCTTCTGGGGGAGTGTCTCCTTCCTCCCTTCCCTTCCAGGGACCCTCGCCAGCTGACCCACCAGCAGTAACAGGGGCACCCCAGCAGAGCCCATGGAGGCTTCCCACAAGCCCCCTCCCAAGAGAGAAGGGAAGTGGAATAGGGAGGAGGGGTGTCTTGACAGGGATTCCTAAGAGTTGGCCTACCAGGAATAAGTTGCGCCAATGGGAATCCTCCCTTCTCTTGAGTCATCAGTCTCTGGGTAGAATGTCTCGTCATTTCTCCTTATTGGAGAAAGCCTTTGGAGCCCCCAAAGGCCCTTTTTTTCAGAAGGCAATTGGACTTTCCTTGAAAACCTTCAGCTCTCACTGGATGGTGGGGAGTAGTCAGAGCTGAAGAAGCTTCTTGGATGAGAAACGTCTTCAAAGGAAAAAAGAAGTAGAAAGGCCAGTTGCCTCCTGGAAAAGCACCTTTGGGTCAACCATAGCTGGATGACTGGGAGACTCCATAGTTTCTTTGGAGCAGAAGCTGAGAAACCGGGACGCACCATTTTGTCTTACCCACATTATGTGCAGCCACAACTGGAGGGGACCTTGGAACTGCAGTGATTCTGATTCTTATATTATTTCTATCTTCTAGGCAGTGGCTGCCCTTTTCCCCTCCGCATTTTTCTTACGCCCCTTAATTACATAATTATTACAAATTATATAAATACTGAAACTCGATTGATCCATGACTGAGTCTGCATTCCCATTTTTTGGGGAAATATCAGCAGGTGTCAAGCTCTCAAAATATACCAAAAGCAGCACCAGGTGTCAAGTTCTGCCAGAACGTTTGTTTGCTTGTTTGTGTGTGTGTGAGTGAGTGAGTGCGAGAGAGAGAGAGAGAGAGAGAGAGACTGACAGACAGACAGAAACACACACACACACAAACATAGTCACACAGAGAGGGGGGAGATGAAGGGAGAGAACGGGAGAGGAACAGAAAGAGCAAGAGAGGGAGAGACAGAAGGAGAGAGAGAGAGAGGCGGAGGAAGACGAAGTGGGAAAGAAAGGGAGAAAAGTAGAGGAAGACAGTGCGGCAGGGAGAGCGAGTGGGATAGAGAATCGATCGGCTCCCAAAAGGACAGAACCGGCATCCCCTCCGGGTGACTTTCTGCAAATCGGCATTAGCGCAAGGGCAAGGGGAGGCCTGTTACCTCCCCGTGGCATTTACCAGAAGCTAAATGGCAGAGCTCGTCCTCCAGGGCAGATCCGGCGCCGATCAGAGGGTTGGGCTGGATAGCCTCCAAGTTCCTCCACAGCCGTGATATCACCGCAGCTCCCGGCAGGGGGCGCTCGCTGGACTGCAGACTGACTGTATGCCACAGCGCATGCTCGACTCTGTCTGCATGGTCGGGAGACTGCCGCCTCTGAGTTCCTCGGGAATTTGGGGGAGGGGGGTGGGCAAGGGGGGGTTCCGCGACTCAGATCCTTCCCAGGGAAGGAGAAACAGACTCCGAATCCCGAGGCTTGGAGGGAGCGGGGAATCCACCCGTTAACTGCTCCGGGCTGTGCATGCAGAAGATCTAACAACGGAGGAGGGGAAGAGAGTTGGGGGGGGGGGGAGAGGGAGCCTAAAGGGACCACTTGCTCAAGTCTCCTTCAGATTCAGCTTCCAAGACGGGAAGGGTCTTCGGAGAGCCAGCGGAGACCAGTTGCCGGGCGGTGCCAGTGGCTGAGAGATTCCTGGTGAGCGTGGCAGAGGAGAAGCAGGAATAGAATGAAAGGGACCTTGGAGGTCTTCTAGTCCGACCCCCTACTCAGGAAGTGCCCCAGGTGAGAGATGCTTCTTTTGGGAAATATGAAGGGAACTTTGCATGCTTGAATTCTTAAATACCTTCCTGATAAGAGTTTTGGGTGATTGATAATGCAAGTAGATCATTTAAAGAGCCTCATTAAAGAAATTGTCCTTGCATTCTTCCAAAGAGTATCTCATTTGGAGCAATTCTCCCATGGGCCTCCATCCATCCCCACCGATGGACAGGAGGGTTTGGCCACCTTGTGGAAAGAACATAAAATCCAGATCCTCTCATGTCCTGTATCTTCAGCCCTCTCCATTGCTTCTATTTCACGTTCTGAGGTCCTTCCAGGAATGGGGACTAATTGGGTGGATCCCACAAATCTTTCTCATGATCTGTCTTTCAGAGGGATCCCCAAGGAGAAAAGTCAACATCAGGAAACCTCACTAGGTAAGGGAAGATCGTTCCACTGGATTGGAGATTTTCTGGAAAGATTCTAGTTATTGTTAATTCTCTGTGTCTTCTCATGTCTTGGCCATTGGATTTAGTAGAAGGTGACCCAATAAAAAAAGCAATAACTCCCTCTTCAAGCTAGAAGACTTAAGGCGCACAAAGGAATTTCCATCCTTAAGATCCACTCTATGGTTTCCCTTTTGCAGAAGACCCACTTTTCTAGGGACCACCTTGAGTTGTAGTCTGGCTCCTCCATCATGAAAGATTTCTCTTTGTTCTCAATGATGCGGAAGACAGCAAACCTGTTTTTTGGCCTTCCTCAAGAGATAATTTCAACTCAATTCCTACACAGATCCCTGCTGGACCATTTCCAACTCCAGCTGTCCTTGCAGGCATGTTCCTGGGTTGCTAGAATTTCACAAATTGCTCTTCCATGATGGTTTTAAGCCGCAGGGAATTGGAGGGAGGGAGAGAATTTATAGTGATTGAGGAAATGCTTTGGTTGCCAAGAATGTACTTCCATATGTTGTTCCAGAAGGTCAGGAGAACAATCCAATTGAGGTTTGTTCTTCAGTATGTGGTGGGGTTTGGTCTTCTCTTTTTCTTCTTGGCTCCCATGATGGTGCCTATGAAAGGCCACCAAAAGGAGAGTGTAGAAGAGCCCAATGGAGGTTTCCTGGGCAGGTCTTCAAGCTAGAAAAGATGAAGTTGCAGCCTTTCCTGTTTCCATCCTGTCTCTCTCCTTCCTAGTGAACGAAATGGAGTTGCCATTAACTGAATCATCTCCGTCTATTAGTGGAGCTGAAAGAGCAGCAGGATTCTCAACTCAGGTAGGAAGGAAGAGATCAGCAACTAATATGGGGGAGCAGTAGGGAACCTCTAGTTTCCTTTGGGGACTCAACATATGATATTGCTATTCCTAAGCAAAACACAACAAGAAAATTAGAAATCTAAATTCATGATCAATCAAACCAAGCCTACCTCTCAACATTTAAGATTTAAAAATGTATGGAATTCCTTAGTAGTTATATCATTCTGGTTTCACAAAATGCCACCTGGCAGGTCATGTTGTCTATCATCAAGAAAAGCAGACAGGAGGCACGAATAATTAGGCTAAGTCTGCTTTACTTAAGTATTATCTGTTTTCCAAGCAGCCAAAGTTTAACATGGCAATAGCGTAACAATAGCATTTTATTTATTTATTTATTTATTTATTTATTTATTTATGAGACTTATATACCACTTTAAGTGCAAGCACTCTCTAAGCGTTGTACACCAGTAAGCAATGTATATATATATTTACATTGCCCCCAACAATCTGGGTCCTCATTTTACCTACCCCGGAAGGATGGAAGGCTGAGTCAACCTTGAGCCGGTGAGATTTGAACCGCTGACCTGCTGAACACAGTCAGCTAAAGTGGCCTGCAGTACTGCACTCTAACTACTGCGGCACCTCGGCTCATTGGTTAAACTCCTTACCAATCCTTAAGAATAGAAAGCCAGGAGGCCCAAAACAAGGAGCAGTTTGCTGCAACATCCTGTTGGTGTAAACTAGCTGATATCCGGCAGGTGAGGTCATTGTACCAGCCTGCTGTAGTTTCCCACATCGCCATGGTGATGTGTAGGGATGAGATCGTGTAGAGAGAAGAGGCATGCAGGCTTTGGAGGGGCAGTTTGCTGCTCACGACCTCTACCTGGCCCCCATCTCTACAGGATTCTTCTTTGTTCAGGGTCCTGTGTCCTTTGAGGAGGTGGTCGTCCATTTCAGTGGCGAAGAGTGGTCGCTGCTGGATCCCAGTGAGAAAGCCCTGCATCGAGAAGTCATGTTGGAAATGTCTGGGATGGTGGCCTCTTTAGGTAAGCGTTCCTCTGGAGGAAAATTATGTCAGACCAAGGGGTCACTAGACATTTTAGTCACAACTTACATCTATATGTATCTTGTTAAAAATGATTTCATCTCTTCTTTTGTCCTCTTACGTTAATTCCAGACTGCTTTCATGGTCTTCTAAGTAGCACGATTTCATTGAGAAGAAAGAGATCAGTGGGGTGATCAGTCATTCTGGCAAGGGTTGACATTTGGTCTTGTGGTCATTCTGGGCCCTGTGTCATCACTGCAGAGCTATTGGGAGAGGATGTTTTTGCCTATTGCAGTTGTCCTAATCGGGAACAAATTTTGTCTTGCTTCATGTTGCAGTGACATATCTTTTCTTATTGACTGTAACTTAGGTGCATCATATGTGAGACAATATGTGTGCCATGTCCTGATGTCACGACCTGTTCTTGCTTTAAATTTTTAACTGCCAAGAATGAGGGTTAGGTCAGCAGTCACGGTAGTCTTTTAAGTTAATAACTAATATTCATGCTGTCCTTTCCCCCGTTTCTTTCTCCGCAGATTCCCAGTAATAGATAAATCTATGCACTGGGACTGCAAACTGTACGTTGTGTATTATTCTAATTTATTTTTCTTCCCACTCAAGCATTAGATGCGCAGAAGGAAAATAACCAAGAGCCAAATTTAATGCCGTTGCAAATCATCCAAACTGAAATACCTGAAGAGACACCTACAAATCAACGGGAGAGGAGGAAACATGAAAAGAAGAGAGAAAAATCTATTCTTGAATGTGTGGAAATCGATTGCTTGCTGACCAAAGGTGACTCCAAAGAAAATACGGGGAAATATCAAAGTAGAAAAAGATTCAACGCAAACCCCAATTTTAGTAACCACTACAAAACTGGAAAGACCTTCAGCAGTAATAAACTTACTCCCCATAAAAAGACCCAGGCAACGGAGAAGCCCTACAGAGGTGTGGACTGGGGAAAAAGCTTTGGATGGAGAGGTAATCTAACTTCCCATAAAAGAATACAGTCAGGGGGAAAGCCCTATAAGTGCACGATCTGTGGGAAAAGATTCCATTCAAACAGTTCCTTTACTTCTCATAAAGAAATCCACACCAGAGAAAAACCCTATGAATGCCTAGAGTGTGCAAAGAGGTTCAGGAACAAGGAGTGTCTCAAATCCCACAAAAGGATGCATACAGGCAGAAAACCTTATAAATGTGTGGACTGTGGTAAAAGGTTCAATGTGAAGAGTTCCTTTACTTCCCATAGAAGGATCCATACTGGAGAAAAACCATTTAAATGCCTACAGTGTGCGAAGAGCTTCAGTACTAGTAGTTACCTGATATGCCATAGAAGGATCCATTCAGGGGAAAAACCCTATAAATGTGTAGACTGTGGAAAAACCTTCAGGACGAATACTGCTTTTACTACACATAAATTGATCCATACGGGAGAGAAACCCTTTAAATGCATGGAGTGTGGGAAGAGCTTTATCCAAAGTGGTGTCCTTGCTTCCCATACAAGGATCCATACAGGAGAGAAACCCTATAAATGCCTTGTGTGTGAAAAGAGCTTCCGTGAAAAGAGTTCTCTTACTTGTCATAAACGGGTCCACACAGGAGAAAAACCCTATAAATGCCTGGAATGTGGGAAGAGCTTCAGTATAAAGAGTTCTCTTACTTCTCATTTACGGGTCCACACAGGAGAAAAACCCTTTAAATGCATCGAGTGTGGAAAGAGTTACAAAAACAGCAGTCACCTGAACCTCCATAAACGGATCCACACGGGAGAGAAACCCTATAAATGCATGGAGTGTGGAAAGAGCTTCACTATAAAGACTTCTCTTACTTATCATGAAATGATCCACACTGGAGAGAAACCTTACAAATGCATGAAGTGTAGAAAGAGGTTCAGGACCAGAAATTGCCTGAAATCCCACAAAAGGATCCATACAGGGGAAAAACCTTATAAATGTGTGGACTGTGATAAAAGGTTCAGTGTGAAGAGTTCCTTTACTTCCCATAGCAGGATCCATACGGGAGAAAAACCCTATAAATGCATAGAGTGTGGAAAGAGCTTTAGCCAAAGCAGTGGTCTTGCTTCCCATAAAAGTATTCATACGGGAGAGAAACCCTATAAGTGTATTGAGTGTGGAGAGAGCTACAGAACTAGTAATCAACTGACCTCCCACAAAAGGATCCATTCAGGCCAAAAACCTTATAAATGCACGGAGTGTGGAAAACCCTTCAGGACATGCAGTTCCCTTGCTTCCCATAAACGGATCCATACAGGAGAGAAACCCTATAAATGCCTGGAATGTGGGAAGAGCTTCAGTGTAAAGAGTTCTCTTACTTCTCATTTACGGGTCCACACAGGAGAAAAACCCTTTAAATGCATAGAATGTGGGAAGGGCTTCACGCAAAGCTGTGCCCTTGCTTCCCATAAACGGATCCACACAGGAGAAAAACCGTATAAATGCATGGAGTGTGGAAAGAGCTTCAGAAACAGCAGTTACCTGACCTGCCATAAAAGAATCCACACAGGAGAGAAACCCTATACATGCCTGGAGTGTGGAAAGAGGTTCTCTATAAAGAGTTCTCTTACTTCTCATGAAAGGATTCACACAGGAGAGAAACCCTATAAATGTCTAGAGTGTGGAAAGAGCTTCACCCAAAGCAGTCAACTTAGTTTCCATAATAGGATCCACACAGGGGAAAAACCTTATAAATGCACAGACTGTGGAAAGACCTTTGCTGGCAGTGGTTATCTGACTTACCATAAAAGGACCCACACTGGTGAGAAACCCTATAAATGCCTGGAATGTGGAAAGAGCTTCTGTGATAACCGTGTCCTTATTTCCCATAACAGGATCCACACGGGAGAGAAGTTGTATGTATGCAATGAATGTGGGAAGAGTTTGAGTTCAAGCAGCTCCCTTACTTACCACATTAGTTCCCACACACGGAAGAAATTGCATCTGTGCACAGAGTGTGGGAAGAGCTTCAGATTAAAAAGACACCTTACTTCCCATAAGAGGATCCACAAAGCAGGGAAATAGAAATGTATGGAATGTGGAAGGAGCTTTTGTGATAGCTGCACCCTTACTTCCCATAACAGAATCCATACAGGGGAAAAATAGAAATGTTTGCAATGCGGAAGGAGTTTTGGTGAAAACAGGATGCTTCTCAAGAAAGAATCCATAGAGGGCGGAAAAATAGCCTGTGTAAAGCAATCAAATTATTATTTTTATATCAGGGATACATACAGGATGAGAGAGATCCCTTTAGATCAGGGCTAGGCAATCTTGCTCTTTTATGACTCGGGGACTTCAACTCCCAGAATTCCTGAGCCAGCCACACTGAGGGGAAAGGGATTCTGGGAGTTGAAGTCCACGAGTCATAAAAGAGCCAAGGTTGCCTACCCCTGCTTTAGAGCAAGGGATCCTAATCTGTGGGCTGTTTCCGACTGTTGGTCATGGCCTATTGGCCACAGGTCTACCTGATGGCTGGCCATTGTGTATGTGTGTGTGAGTGTGCGCCCATAACCCCACTCACGTGAGCATTTTGAAAGTCGGCGTTTGTGGCCACACTCACACAAGCCTTGTCACAAGCTTCGCAGGTGTTTGCCGCACCAGTCGCACAAGTGTCACCACAAGCATCGCAGGCATTTGGTACCCCACTTTCAAGAATGTCATCTCGGGCACTCAAAACTGTACCCAGAAAAGCAGTGGGTGTTTTTGTGCATGTACACCCAATGTTCATCCCCCCACAAAACCATCCTTTTCCCCTCTGAACTCTGCTTTAGGGACTGAAGTGTCCTTAATTTGCATAAAAGGATCCACTATGACGTGAAACCATCTAAAAATATGGAGTGTAAAAAGAATAACATTTGTGTAAAAATGTGGAGAACACTCTTCCTTCTTTCAGAGAATTGCCATAGGAGCAGTGAATAAATGTATTTGGATTTTGGAAAGCTGCCAGGATAGATTTCTTAATTTCAGAGGTATTACCCATTTGATTAATTTTCTCAAGAAAACCTGTTAAACAATTGCCCCTCTCATTACTCCAAAACCTCTACTTGGTCAAGCTGCTTTATTTAGGCAGAAGCAATCTGAAGTGAGTCTGAGATCAACCTCCCGGCATTGTAAAGATGTAGTGCAGTGGTTCTCAACCTTTTTAATGCCACGACCCCCAACCGGCCGTACATCGAGGACTACCCAACCGGTCGTAAGTTGAGGACTACCCAACCGGTTGTAAGTCAAGGACTTTCCCTGCCCGGGAGCACCGCACATGCGTGGTGCCGCCCCCTGCGCCGGCCGAGGCGTAGCTGGCAAGGAGCAGCGATGGGGCAGGGCGATCATCGGCTGGGCCACCAGCTGGCCCAGCCAAAGGGAGGTAAGGCACCCGCCGGGCCCCATGCGCGCCAGCAACCCTCCCTGCGCCTGCCGGCCTCCCACCCCTGGCCCTCTTTTACTTACATTTTTAGTAGTTGCTCAGCAGGGAGGGGTGGAAACTTCCAGACAGCTCACCTTCGCTGTAGACAACTTGCAGTACCGTTTGCAGAATGGGACTTTTGGCGGGCTCAGCAGGGCAGAGACAGCCTGGACAATTCCTATTGGCTTTTCAAAGCCAATAGAATTAGACTCTATTCAAGAGACTCTATTCTATTGGCCTTCAAAAGCCAATAGAATAAAAGGGAGTAGCACAGCTAAGGAAAAGGGGGGGAAATGGCGGACTGCGCTGTTTGGCAATCCCCATAAAATGGTCGTTCGACCGCAAATGGGGTCGCAACCCACACGTTGAGAACCGCTGATCTAGTGTATGCAAGCGAAAAAAGGGAAAGTGTGTCTCTGTGTGTTCATTTTTGTTCCAATTGGGTTAAAAATACTGGCTTTCTTTAAACATATAGTTGTCAAATTCACAAATGAGCCTAGCTGCAGCCATTTCCCCCCTCATTTGAAGTTGCCACATGAAACAGGAAGGGGGACTTGTCCAGGTGTTTTGCTAGTCAAAACAATCAGATGTCCCATGGGAATCAAGGTCATCTATTGCTCCCGCAATTGGGGATTAGGCGTAGTATAAGAAAGCCCACCAAACTATTCTATTGGGAAATGTAGTTGATTGCATAATACTGGGGTGGGAACTTTAACTTTGTAATAATGTAACTTTTTGGAGGGAACTTTACTGTTGGTTTCACTTTTGACTCTTTATAGTCTGTAACAATAAACATGTTTTTTGAGGAAATTGCTCTGCTTTATTCCTCTTTGTTGGAACCATGACAGTAGCAAGGTATTAAGCTTTTTTCTTCATATACGTATGGGTACAAGTTTGGTTTACAAGTGAAAATGTCTCCCAAACGTTTATATGTACGGTCTACTCTGGTTCAAAATTGCATTAACCCAGCTGAAAGGGACTTTATAAATGGCTTTATTGATCCAACAGTGTACTATATGAGCAATGTTTTTTTAAATATTTCCTGATTATTAACAAGGTTTCTAATTTTGAAAGGCTAATAAATTATTGGAAACAATTGTGGCACATTGTAAATCATGCCCTACTTAATACACATTGAACAAAAAAGCTAAACGAAGAAAACAGATGAATACATAGAACCTATGGGGGGAGGGTGTGTGTGTGTAATAAAAAGTTATAAAGTGGTAGAAGGAGGTGGAATGAATTCAGATTTGATTTAGTTTCACATTGCACAATGATGCGTAGAAAACCATGGAATGACAAAAGCATTAGCAAGGTAGATTTCTCTATGAAAAGAAATTGTAGTCTATAAAATGTGGGAACATTCCACATTCTAAAATCTTGGCATTTTTTAGAATTTTCCTAATTGTACAGTTTTACATCTGTGGAGATAATCCATGCAGCATTGATAGTACTTCAGTCAACAATATCTTCTTCCTTTACGTCGAAGGACCTAAATGGGAATTAGAGAACTGAAATCCTTTTGCTGTTTTCTAGTCTGAATGGACATTTGGCTTTTGAGTGGTAGGCAAGGATTTGTGTTTCAAGAGTGTGTATGAGTATTAAGTGAGAAGACATTTATTTTCCCATTCTATACAATTAAATAATATATAAATTTAATAAATCAAATAAAAGCATTTCTTATTCTCCAGCCAGCAATTCCACCTTCTCTTTGAAGACCTGTAAGAGATACCATTATTATTTTTTTGAAGGGTTTTGAGGGGCAAATGGAAGCCAAGGCCTTGAATGGGATCATCTCCCGGGATCTGGGGATTCTCCCAGTCATTCCGCCTCAGCCATGGGGTGGCCCCAAGGGATTCACGGGGGGGGGGGGGGGAGGTTTCCCATCAGACAACTGCTGAATTAAGTAGGTGAAAATTGTGGTAGTTCTTTTTGATTGGGGTTTTTTAATCTGGCCTGCTTAAATCAGGGACACCTTAAAGTGTTTGGATGCGATGCCCCCCCAGACATTTGAGGGGGTAGAAAAGAGCTCTTGAGGCAGACTGGAGGGGGGCCCTGAGGGAAAAGAGAGGGAGGCCTAATTCAGAGTCAGACTGAGAGAAAGGAGTCAGGTGTGTCCTTGGGAGCCACAAAGACCCCCAATAGTGGTGCTTCCCTAGGGGGACCTCTTTCCCCTCCCCCCAGCCAGCAAAGAGGTTCCTCCCACTACACAAGGACTGCCTTTTCCTGCTTCACTGGGAGGGTGGTGGTCAGAAGGAGAGGGGTCTTGCAACCTCCTGCCCCTCCCTCACCCTTCAGCCTTTTCCCCAATGTCTCTCTGGTAGAGGGCTCGCAGTCCCTTTCTCCCCCCCCCCCCGGCTGCCCTCCCCAAGTGTGGCCCTGCTCCTTTTTCAGTTGGGCTGCCTGAATCCGAGACACTTCAACGCCTTTAGACATAATGGGGCCCCCAAGAGTCTCGAGGGGGCTGGAAAAGGATTCTGGAGGGGGGCCCTGAGGGAGAAGAGGGGCCCCGAAGGAGGCCTCATCCAGAGTCTGACCAAGAAAAAGAAGTCGAGGCCATCTCCGAGGAGCCACGAAGAAGTCCGATGGCGGGTCTTGCTTCAGAATCATGTCTCTCTTTCTCTCAACGGTCTTTCCCGCCTTTTCCCACCTCGCTGTCTGAGGGAATCGCACTGGGCGGGGCATGGTCACAAGGGAGGGGGGAGGGGAGGAGCCTTGCAAAGTCCTGCTCCCCTTGTCCTGCAACCTTTCCTCCAACGCCTCTCCTGGGGGCCCAACCCCCCTTCTTGGGGGGAGTTCTCCTTCTCCCCCCCTTCCCTTCGAGGGATTCTCGCCAGCTGACCCACCAGCAGCAACAGGGGGACTTTGGAGTTGGCTTGCCAGGAATAGGTTGCGCCAATGAGAATCCTCCCTTCTGTTGAGTCATCTGTCTCCGGGCAGAATGTCTCTTGATTTCTCCCTGTCGGAGAAAGCTTTTGGAGCCCCAGAAGTGCTTTTTTTCAGGAGGCAACTGGACTTTCTTTGAAGAAAAGCTTATTCAGCTCTGACTGGATGGTGGGGAATAGTCAGAGATGAAGAAGCTTCTTGGATGAGAAGCAAAACGTCTTCAAAGGAAAAAAAAACCCAGAAGTCCTTTGAAGCAGAAACTGAGGAACTGGGACTGGGGTGGGGGAGTCTTACCCTCATTATGTGCAGCCAAAGCTGAAGGGGACCTTGGAACTGTGAGTGATTCTGATTCTTATATTATTTCTATCTTGTAGGTAGTGGCTGTCCTTTCCCCCTCCTTAATTACAAAATTATTACAAATTATATAATTACTGAAGCTGGATTGATTCATGATTTGAGTCTGCATTCTCATTTCTTAGGGAAATATTGATGTATCGCCTGGGATTTTTATATGGATAGGTATAAAAAATGATCTGGGTGAAATCTGTCACTTCAGGCAGGCTTTTATGGGATGTTTGGATGGAAATAGGGATTGCTGCTCCTGGCTTCTTCATCTGGTCTGGAAGGTGAAGGAGGAGAAGACGAAAAGGATGTGGTCCTGACAACTCTGATCACAGTTTTATGAGGATGTGGTTACAAAAGAGGGAAACATCAGCAGGCATCAAGCTCTCAAAATATATCAAAAGCACCACAAGATGTCACGTTCTGCCAGAGGTTGTGTGTGTGTTTGTGTGAGAGAGAGGGGGGGGGAGAGGGAGGGAAAGAGAATGGGAGAGAGTTAGGGAGGGAGAGAAAGAGAGAGGGAGAGAGAGAACAAGTGGGAAAGAGAGGCAGAGAAAGAGAGACAGACAGACAGAAGGGAGGGAGAGAGGGAAAGAGAAAGAAAGTGAAAAAAAGTGAGAGGAAGAGGGAGAGACCAAGAGAGAAAGCTAGTGGGAGAGGGAGAGAGAGAGAGAGAGAGAGAGAGAGAGAGAGAGAGAGAGAGAGAGAGAGAGTTACAGAGAGAGGAAGCAAGAAAGGGAGAGGAAAAGCAAGAGGGAGACAGAGGCCTAGCGAGACACACAGACAGACGGAGGGAGGGAGGGAGCGAAAGGGAAAGAGAGAGAGACCGAGAGGGAGGGAAAGAGAAATGGAGAGGAAGAGAGCGCGGAAAGAAGGGGGGACAGAGAATCGATTGGCTCCCCAAAGGACGGAATCCCTATCCTCTCCGCGCTCGATTCCTTCTGCGTGGTCCGGAGACTGCCGCCTGTGAGTTCCTCCCTGGGAATCTGGGGGCAGGGGGGAGGGCAAGGGGGGAGGTCTAGTGACTCAGATCTTCCCCAGGGAGGGAGAAACAGACTCCGAATCCCGAGACTTGGAGGGAGCGGGGAATCCACCCCATAACTGCTCTGGGCTGTGCATGTAGAAGATCTAACAACGGGGGAGGGGAGAAAGTTGGGGGGGAGGGGAGAGGAAGCCTAAAGGGACCACTTGCTCACGTCTCCTTCAGATTCAGCTTCCAAGACGGGAAGGATCTTCGGAGAGCCAGCGGAGACCAGTTGCCAGGCGGTGCCAGTGGCTGAGAGATTCCTGGTGAGCGTGGCAGAGGAAAAGAAGCAGGAATAGAATGAAAGGGACCTTGAAGTTCTTCTAGTCCGACCCTCTGCTCAGAAAGGGCCCCAGGTGAGAGATGCTTCTTTTGGGAAATGTGAAGGGATCTTTGCGTGCTTGAATTCTTAAATGCCTTCCTGATAAGAGTTTTGGGTGATTGATAATGCAAGTAGATCATTTAAAGAGCCTCATTAAAGAAATTGCCCTTGCATTCTTCCAAAGAGTATCTCATTTGGAGCAATTCTCCCATTGGCCTCCATCCATCCCCACCGATGGACAGGAGGGTTTGGCCACTTTGTGGAAAGAACATAAAATCTAGATCCTCTCATGTCTCGTCCTCTTCAGCCCTCTCCTTTGCTTCTATTTCACGTTCTGAGGTCCTTCCAGGAATGGGGACTAATTGGGTGGATCCCACAAATCTTTCTCCTGAACTCTGAGAGGGATCCCCAAGGATAAAAGCCAATGTCAGGGGATCTCATTACATGAGGGAAGACCATTGTGCTGGACTGAAGATTT